GGGGGGGGGGGGGGTGTCCTTCAGCCCAGCCTGAACCCTCTCCAATCTGGGACCCCTCGAGGGATGTCTGACTGCCGGTTTAGGCCCAATCCCACAGGGGCAGTCGGACATCCCTCTCACAATCCAGGACTGCTGGCTCCCAACCGCTCGCCTGCCTGCCTGCTTGATTGCTCCTAACCACTTCTGCCTGACAGCCTGATCACCCCCTAACCACTCTCCTGCCAGCCTGACCGACACCTAACTGCTCCCTTGCCAGACCAATCGCCCCCAACTGCCCTCCCCTGCCAGCCTGGTTGCCCCCAACTGCCCTCCCCTGCCGGCCATCTTGTGGCGGCCATCTTGTGACCCCATGGGGGTGGCCATCTTGTGTGAGAGCATGACAGTCAATTTCCATATTACCTCTTTACTATATAGGATTATTGACTATATTCCCTATGCTGTACTTTATATCCCCTTGACTATTTTAAGTGCTATGTTACTATTCTACTCTTACCACATTGTGAACTCCACGAAGAAAGGGACTTGTGTGTTTTCAGTACTGTATCTTTAGGCACCAGAATAATGCTAGAACAAGATAGGCACTCCAGGATTGCATAGTACTGTGTGTGTGTGTGTGTGTGTGTGTGCGCGCACATGTGTGTTAAAATATATATAACATAGAATTTACCATTTTAACCATTTTTAAATATACTATTCAGTGGCATTAAGTACATTCACAATGTTGTGCAACCTTTGCCACTATACATTTCCAGAACTTTTTCATTATCCTAAACTCCATACCCATTAAACAATAGCTCCCATTTCCTCCCGCTCCCCCCAACCCTGGTACTCTCTGCTCTATCTTTCTGTCTCTATGATTTGTCTTTTCTAGGCACCACATGTAAATGGAAGCATACAATATTTGTTATTTTTTGTCTGGTATCTTTCACTAACGTTTTCTAGGTCCATCTATGTTGTAGCATGTAACAGAATTTCAGGCATTTTAAGGCTGAAAAATAGTCAGTTGTATGTATAGACCACATTCTGTTTATCCACTCACCTGCCAATGGGCATTCGGGTTGTTTCCACCTTTTGGCTATTACGGATAATGTTACTATGAACAGTGGTGTACAAGTATCTGTTTGAGTCCCTGCTTTCAATTCTTTTGGGAATATACCCAGAAGTGGAATTATTGCATCACATGGTAATTCTATGTTTGACTTCTTAAGGAACTGCTAAAGTTTTTCCAAAGTGAACTATGCTGTACACCTGAAACTAATATAATGTATGTCAACTGAAATTGAAAAATAACTTTAAGAAACGTTTTAATCCTGCCCTAGCTGGTTTGACTCAGTGGACAGAGCGTCAGCCTGCAGACTGAAGAGTCCCGGGGTTCAATTCTGGTCAAGGACACATGCCTGGGTGGCAGCTCGGTCCCCAGTAGGGGGCCTGCAGGAGGCAGCCGATCAATGATTCTCTCTCATCATTGATGTTTCTATTTCTCTCTCCCTCTCCCTTCCTCTCTGAAATCAATAAAAATATTTTTTTAAATGCTTTAATTCTCACCTGAGTGTATGTTTTTATTTGTTTTATTTTAGAGGGAGAGAGAAAGGGAGAGGGAGGCGGGAGAGAGAGAGAGAGAGAAGTAGAAAGAGAGAGAAAGAGAAATAGAGACGTATATGAGTTGCCTCCCTTACACGTCCTACCAGGGATGGAACCAAACCTGGTTATGTGCCCGGACCAGGAATCAAACCCTAGACTCTAGTGATGGTGAACCTTTTGAGCTCGGTGTGTCAGCATTTTGAAAAACCCTAACTTAACTCTGGTGCCGTGTCCCGTGTCACATATAGAAATTTTTGCAACCATAGTAAAACAAAGACTTATATTTTTGATATTTATTTTATATATTTAAATGCCATTTAACAAAGAAAAATCAACCAAAAAAATGAGTTTGCGTGTCACCTCTGACACGCGTGTCATAGGTTCACCATCACTGCGAGCCTAGACCCTTGGGTGTACGGGAGGGCGCTCCAATCAACCGGGTCACACTGGCCAGGGCTGGGATTGAAAAACGATTTTTTAAATTTAGATAGCATATTTTAGCACACTGCCTTGACAACCAATCCGAGCTCAAATTTTTCCGTTGTTATTACTGTTGTTGCTTCATAGCTAATAATAATTAGTGAGGAGTACCAGAAACAGCTTCAAAAAGGCATAAGACCGGTAGGAAAAATAGAAAGCAGAAACCCAAAGAAATTGCGGCAGTGCCGGGATCACGAAGTCATATCTGCGAGCCACACACCGGTTTCACCGAGTCCCAAACAGCCCCTCCCAGGCTCACCGTCCCGCCCCCCGCCCCGCTGCCAAGCCCCGCCCCACTCCCAGGCCCCGCCCCTCCCGGGCAGGTGGCGCCTGCGCCCTGGGCGTGTTTGCGCGCCGGAGCCCGCGGTGGTGGCACACCCTGCTTCCGGCGCAGGCGGCGTCCGCAGGGTCCGGCGCCTAGTGGTGACGTAATTTCCGGTTTCCCGACTGAGTCGGAAGTGGGAACACTCCGGCTAGTGAGATTGTCGCGTGTCGTCGCTGCTGGCCCTTCAGGCTCCGGTAAGAGAGCACATCGCTTGCGGGGAGGGGGTCGTGGGGTCTGCACCGGGTGTGTTCTCCCAGCCGACCGCCAGTTCCGGCCTCTGCACTCCCGCCTCCTCCCGGTTCCCTGCCCTGCGCTCTCCTGACCACCGACCCGCTCCGGGAACTTGGACCCTGTCTGGTTTGGGAACCCTTCTGTGCTCCAGCTTCTGGCACGGCTCCCACTCTTGGCCGTTCCTCCCTAGGAAAGGCCGGGATGCCGGCCTTGCATTATCCGTGACTTCCTTTCGCTGGAACGTGCACCGAGTGGGAGGGGCTCCCTTGCCGCCAAGTCCTTATGGAACCCGGAGGGATAGCAGTATACGGAGTGGACAGCAGCCAGCCAGATGCCAGGGGAGACAGCATTAGACGGAGTCCTGCTGCCCAAACCAGCTGAAAACGTGGGGAGTGGTGACGTTTCGTAAGCAAAGTGTCAGTCGCCACTCGACTGTGGTCCCTCGGACGCAGGTTTCGGCCACTTCTAAGAGTGAGGAACTGCAGCTCGGGCGCTTCCATTTGATGGGTCCTCTCTGTGGGACCAGAGTTTCACTCCCAGAGCAAGGATGTGTTCAGGCTCGTTGCCGGGGACTGTAGGTCTCCCATGGGGCCCCCTGAGATGACGTGAGGCCAGGTTAGGAGGGCTGTCGGCTTTTTGACCTGATGTTCTAGCGTGCTGATGTGTTGGGAGGGTGGAACATACAACAATGAAAACGTTTTTTAATTCCTTTTTGTTTGATGTGTATTACCCATCAGGACAGAAACCTACAGATTATGGTTTAATGGAGCTTGATTTTGATCATCCCAGTTACACAAAGTGCTCCAGACATACCCTGTGTAAGCGCAATACAATGTCTGATGTTAAGACATTTGTGTACCCTCCCCCTTGAAAGCTGATAATCTCCCTTAAGAGATTAGCGGTACTAGTTTTGTTTCTTTTTTTCTTATGATTCTTATTTAATTTATTGAGGTGACATTGGTTAATAGGATCATACAGGTTTCAGGTGTGGGTTTCTGTGTGACAAGATCTGTATATTGCACTGTGCCCACCACCCAAAGTCAAATCATCTTCCATCCCATATATTACGCCCCTTTCACCCCCGCCCCTTTCCCGCTGGCAGTCACCACACTGCTGTTTGTGTTCACGAATTTGTTTTATATCTCACACATGAATGAAATCATATGGTTTTTAGCTTTTTCTGACATTTCACTTATCATAATGTTCTCAAGGTCCATCCATGTTATCGCAAATGGCGCTATTTCATCCTTTCTGATGGCTGAGTAGTATTCCACTGTGTATATGGACCACATCTTGTTTATCCAGTCCTCTATCGCAGGGCACTTTGGATGTTTCCATGTCTTGGCCACCATGAATGATGCTGCAATGAACATAGGGGCGCATATATCTTTGTGAATACATGATTTCGAGTTGTTCAGGTATATACCCAGGAGTGGGATGGCTGGGTCATATGGTAGCTCTGTTCTTAATTTTTTGAGGAATCGCCAGACTGCTTTGCATAGTGGCTGCACCAGTCCACATTCCCACCACCAGTGAACGAGGGTTCCCTTTTCCCACAACCTCTCCAGCGCTTGTTGTTGCTTGTCTTGTTGATAATGGCCACTCTAACAGGTGTGAGGTGGTATCTCATGGTAGTTTTGATTTGCATTTCCCTAATTGCTAGTGAGGTTGAACATCTTTTCATATCTATTGGTTTGTATGTCTTCTTGGGAGAGGTGTATGTTTAGGTCCTCTGCCCACTTTTTGATTGAGTCGTTTGTTTGTTTGGTGTCGAGTTTTATGAGTTCTTTATATATTTTGGAGATTAAACTTGTTGGAGCTATTGTTTGCAAATACCATCTCCCATTTGGCTGGCTGCGTCTTTGTTTTGTTGTTGGTTTCTTTTGATGGGCAGAGCTTTTAGTTTGATATAGCCCCATTCATTTATTTTTGCCTTTAGAGTCAAGTTCATAAAATGTTCTCTATGACCAAGGTCCATAAGTTTAGTATCTATGCTTTCTTCTATGTAATTTATTGTTTCAGATCTTACATTTAGGTCTTTGATCCATTTTGAATTAATTTTTGTGCAAAAATTAGTGGAAACAAACTGTAATCCAGTTTTTCTTTTGCATATGGCTTTCAGTTTTCCCAGCACCATTTATTGAAGAGGTTTTCTTTACTCCATTGTGTGTTTTTGGCTCCTTAAGTTGAAAATTATCTGTCCATATACATGTGGTTTTATATCTCAATTATGTTCCATTGATCTGTGTCTGTTTTCTGCCAATACTGTGCTGTTTTTATCATAGCTCTGTAGTATAATTTGAAGTCAGGTAGTGTGATACCTCCAGCTTCGTTCTTTTTTCTCAGGATTACTTTGGCTATTTGGGGTCCTTTGTGGTTCCATACAAATCTGATGATTTTTTTATTCTCTAGCTTTTAAAAGTGGCATTGGGGTTTTGATGGGGAATGCATTAAATCTGTATATGGCTTTGGGTAATAAGGCCATTTTAACTGTCTTGATTCTCCCAATCCATGAACATGGGATATTTTTTCCATTTTGTTGTCTTTTTCAATCTCTTAATTTTGCTTTGTAGTTCTCAGTATATAGGTCTTTCATGTTCTTTGTTAAGTTTATTTCTAGGTATTTTATTTGGTTACAATTGCAAAAGGAATTTTTCCATTTCTTTTTCTGAAGTTTCATTGTTAGTGTACAGGAAGGCTAGCAGTACTATTTTAAACAAGAAATTGAATCAGGGGACTGTAAGAGGATTTTGTAGGATGGAGGTAGGCAGCTATTACAGATGTAGACCCTTGTAGTGAGTATATCAGAGTGAAACATACTTTTAAGGACTACATTAAACAATAATCAAATCCAAAAGCTCTAAAGATTGGTGGTTGTGCTATCCCTACAGCTAACAACAGGATAGTGCTATATCTCTATGGCAGTTGAAAATAGCAGACAATAAATTACCAGTGTTGAATTCAAAACAAAATGTCAAGGTTCCGTTTTATCAGACCTCTTCCTGGGAGTGGGTGATGTCTAGGTACTCTCTTTACTTTTGTGAGACCACTGAACATATCTCAGCCGTCGTCTCCACAAAGGTTCTCAGCAAGTGATCAGTCCTCCTTTTTCCTGTAAAATTCTGTAAGTGGTTACGTGGTATTAACCCTTTTTCTATGAAAATAGTTTATGCACAGACTTGAGGTACATGTGAAAAAGATGAGGTTAGTGGGGTAAGCAAAAACGGTTTTTGTTTTGTTTTTCAAAAAGACAAACAGCAGAGGCCCTGACCGGTTTGGCTTAGTGGATAGAGCATCGGCCTGCGGACTGAAGGGTCCTGGGTTCGATTCCAGTCAAGGGCATGTACCTTGGTTGCGGGCACATCCCCAGTAGGAGGTGTGCAGGAGGCAGCTGATCGATGTTTCTCTCTCATCGATGTTTCTAACTCTCTATCCCTCTCCCTTCTTCTCTGTAAAACATCGATAAAATATATTTTATTAAAAAAAAGACAAACAGCAGAGATGACAGCAGCTTTATTTCCATCCTCTGTTCTACACATGCTGAGCTACCATAGAGCCATGTGTCTGGCTTGACCTTCCACTGTGATCCAAGGCAGATAGTAAAACCCTTACCTGGAAGTAGGTTTGTGATGCTGCTATTGATTACATGTAAGATTGAACCAGTCAATAAGAATTTATTTGGGCCAAAACTGGTTTGGCTCAGTGGATAGAGCATCGGCCTGCAGACTGAAAGGTCCCGGGTTCGATTCCGGTCAAGGGCATGTACCTTGGTTGCGGGCATATCCCCAGTAGGAGATGTGCAGGAGGCAGCTGATCGATGTTTCTCTCTCATCGATGTTTCTAACTCTCTATCTCTCTCCCTTCCTCTCTGTAAAAAAATAAATAAATAAAATATATTTTAAAAAATTTAAAAAAATAATTTATTTGGGATTTTGTGATTGTAATATATAATGCCAGACACAAGAAAAAATAATCACATACGAACCTCTACTCCACTTGCTTACAATCTAGCACAGTAGATAATCTGCATTAGGAACACAATGTCGAAAGTTATAAATTCTATTTAAAATATAGATAAAACTAGTGACCCGGTACATGGATTCATGCACATTGAAAGGATATTAATTAGAAGGTGGCTGGCAGGGCAGGACTGGGTGACACGGGCCAGACATGCCCTAGAGCTGACGTCTGCGGAGTGAGGGGGGGGGGGGGGTGTCCCTTGGCCTAGCCTGTGGGGATCAGGCCAAAGCCGGCTCTCCGACATCCCCTGAGGGGACCCGGCATGCGAGAGGGCACACTGCAAAGTTGCTGTCGTACAGGGTGTGGAACGCAAACACAAGTGTGCAGTAAACCAGATCCGGGGCCCACAGTGCCCAGCAACAACATAACCCACGGCTGAAGGTGGAATTGCGCAGCCCTGCAAGGAATTGGGCTCCCTCCTCTCTGGTTTCGGGGTGCATCACCCGAGAACCACCACTGCCAAGTCACTGTAGCTCGGCAGCTGCTGCGTTGAGCATCTGCCCCCAGTAGTCAGTGCACGTCATAGTGACTGGTCAGACAGGTGCAGGGACACTTAGCATATTAGCCTTTTATATATATATAGATGTGCTCTGACCGGTGTGGCTCAGTTGGGTGGGCATCGTTCAGTGCACCAGGAAGTGGCCAGTTTGATTCCTGATCATGGACACATGTGCAGGTTGCAGGTTCACTCCTCAGTAGGGGGCATGCAGGAAGCAGCCATTCCATGGGCTCTCACATTGATGTTTCTCTTTCTTTCTCCCTTTCTCTCTCTAAAAATCAATTAACTGTTCTTTAAAAATATATAGATAGATGAAATGTAATGAGAAGCTAGCTTCTTTATATAATGCGACTGTATAATATTGAAAAAGGAAGAGATCATTCCTTTTATTCTCTTTATCTCTCTTGATAGTCTTAAGAACCTGTCTGTCATATGTTCTATATTCCTTTCAACTTCCAGCTGACCTTGAACAACATGGGTTTGAACTTGCTGGTTCTCACCTACACGTGGATTTTCCCAGTAAATACGTGCAGTGCTATAAATGTACTTTCTTATGATTTTCTTAATAACGTTTTCTTCTAACTTACTTTATTGTAGGAATACAGTATATAGTACAGCCGTGGGCAAACTACGGTCCGCGGGCCGGATCCAGCCCGTTTGAAATGAATAAAACTAAAAAAAAAAAAAAAAAAAAAGACCGTACCCTTTTGTGTAATGATGTTTACTTTGAATTTATATTAGTTCACACAAACACTCCATCCATGCTTTTGTTCCGGCCCTCCGGTCCAGTTTAAGAACCCATTGTGGCCCTCGAGTCAAAAAGTTTGCCCACCCCTGAGTACATACCACATAGAAAATATATGTTAATTGACTTTTTATGTTATGGATCAGCAGTAGGCTATTAGTTAAGTGAAAAGTTATAATAAAGTGGTTTTCCATTGCATGGGGATTGCTGTCCCAACCTCACATTCTTAAGGGTCAACTGCACTTCTTTCTACAGATGGTACAGATGGTGCATCTCCTTTGTACCAACCTGACCTCTTCAGTTGTGTTTCCAAAAACCCATTCAAAGAGGGGAATCTATTGGTTTTTTGGTTTTTTTAATCCTAACCTGAGGATATTTTTTCCATTGATTTCTAGAGAGTAGAAGGGAAGGTGTTGGGGGGGGGGGGGTGGAACATCGACGCCAGAGAGACACATTGGTTGGTTGCCTCCTGCGCACACACACACATGCCTACCGGGGCTGGGGAGTCTGCAACCGAGATATGTGTCCTTGACCAGGAATCAAACCCACTACCCTTTGGTCCACAGGCCAACGCTCTAACCACTGAGCAACCAGCCAGGGCTCTATTGGCTTTTATGACTGGAAAACAAAACAAAAGACAAACTCCATCTCTCACTTCTGTTTTCCGGTATGTTGGCTTAGTTTTAGGTTGGGTCATTCTAGATGCTGGAAAGATGGCAATTCCATGTTTATATCTTAACCAGCCTTGCAACTTAAACAGGAAAAAGAGTTTCCTTTTCTGTAGATTCAGCCAAAGGCCTGAAGCTAATGTTTATTGAATCTGATAGGACTTGCTGGGGTCTCATGCCCACTCCTGAATCATCACTTTGGCCAGAGAAGACTATATTCTTTTTGGCCAGGCCAGATTCATGTGCCCCTTCCTGAGGCTAGTGGGTGAGGCCATCCCCTTTTAATATGTGGACTGGGAGTGGGACGGAGCCCAGGGGAGAGTGTGATGCTGTGTTGGAAAAGGAGGAGGATGTTTGGAGACAGAAAGAACAAGCGCTCAGCATGCTCTCTGCACTGCTCAGGACGTCGGTGTGCCTCAGGGTAGCAGGTGGCTGGCAGTCAGTAAGCAATGAGACAGTTCTTGGTCCTCTACATGAATTAGGGTAATAATTAAGTGTATGCAGTGGTTAAATGGGGGAAGGTGCTCTCCAGCATCGTTGTTCATTTTAACACTACATATGCTAATTTTTTGCTTATTAAGCTCAACTAAACTATATGTAGCAAAAAATAAAGTACAGCAACGTCTAACAGTCCCTGGAAGCACTAAAGCACAGTACCACGCTGGGAGGAGACCAGACTGCCTGCCCAAGTCATTACAGCTAATTAGCCATTAGCTCTTGTGCAGAAAACTCCACAGAGGAACATGAAGCAACTGATGAGATGCAAGTGTTATTATAGTCTCTCTCCTCCAAAAAACAAGGGTAATTTCTCCGATTTGCATTAGCTGTTGTTGATAAGATTCAGTAAGGAGTCTTCACTCAACAAATTAAAGGTAGACCAAGTGTTCTTTTCTTCTCCTTCCTCATACCCCTTCCCTCACTTCTGCGGAGGCCTCTTTTCGTACAGCAGTTGCGCTTCCTTCCACACAGGAGATTCGTCTCTTCCGCGCTTTGGGTTGTGTCTGTGCTGTGGCCTTATATTGTCAGAAACAGGAGAAAGCCCCTCAGGGGGCTCTGCTCATCCTGCTGTGCCTCTAAGTGCCCTGGGGCTTGAGGCAGAAATGTCATCAGAAGAGTGAGTGCAAGTGCAGACTCGGGGCCACAAATACCTGTGAGGCATCCGTCTGCTACTTACACACCTTAGGAATTTGTGTGCCTTCAGTATTATAAACCATTGGACAAACAGTAAAAGTTAAATATAGAATTAATCAGCCCTGGACAGTGTTCTCAGTGGATAGAGCGTCAGCCTTCGCACCAAAGGGTCTTGGGTTCGATTCCCGTTCAAGGGCACATACCTGGGTTGCAGGTTCAATCCCCAGCCCCAGTAGGGCACCTTCAGGAGGCTATCAGTCGATGTTTCTCCCCCTCCCCCCCCCTTCCCTTCCACTCACTCTAAAAATGAATGGAAAAATATCCTCCATGAGGATTAACTATGTTATACACACACACACAGTGGGGCCTTGACTTACGAGTGTCCTGACTAACGAGTTTTTTGAGATACGAGCCGTCTCTCGGCCGATTTTTTGCTTTGAGTTGCGAGCTAAAATTCGGGTTACGAGCCAGCTTCAGATACCCCACTGCTAGTTGGTGCAGCGAACGTCACAGTGAACGCCATAGTGAACGCCACAACATCAGCCCAGCATCACGTGTCTCACTCGTTCACTTTTTGATTTGACATACGAGTAATTTGAGTTACGAGCTCCGTCACGGAATGAATTAAACTCGTAAGTCAAGGCCCCACTGTATGATTAATCAAAGATCATTTAGTTTTTAGTGGAAGAAATATCAGTAGTTTTAAGCCTAGGGGTAGAGATAAATGTGTGTGTGTGTACGTGTGTGTGTGTGTTTGTTTTAAAACCCACAACATGCTGCTAATCTGGTTTCTATCCTGATTTCCATGTCTTAATTTAGATAGCCTTACATGTAGTTTATATGTAGCTGAGGAATTCCAGCTCCACTAAATAAAGTCACAGTAGCCTGAGCAAGTGCCACCTTATGCTCATGGTAACTGAAAACTGGTTGGCCAGCCTAGAGATTTAATCTGTAGTTTTTGTGATATTTTTTTCTTTTCTTTTCTTTTCTTTTCTTTTTAATCCTCACCCGAGGATATTTTTCCATTGATTTTCAGAGAAAGTGGAAGGGAGGAAGGGATGGGAGAGAGAGAGAGAGATCAATGTGAGAGAGACACATCAATTGGTTGCCTCCCTAAGGCGCCCCTACCCAGGCTGGGGATCGAACCTGCAACCCAGGTATGTGCGGTGAATGCAAATTGAACCCGAGACCCGTCAGTGTGAGGGCTGGCGCTCTATCCACTGCGCAACACTGGCCAGGGCTTTGTGGAATTACTTTTAAATCTCACATTATTGTTTACAATTAATAGGTGAGTGCCCTCTTTTTCTTTCTACTTTACCTATTTTTGAAAGAACAAATGGAAGCATGTCATTAGATAAATGCATTCCAGTTGAACATTTTGCAAGGTGTGTGTTTGTTTATTTTAGCTACACCTAAAGGAGACCAACTTGTCTAATTGGTAGATTTGTAACCATTTTGCCAAAATATCTTGAATCTTGAAACAATAATTTTATAGTCTTATCCAGAACCTTTTGAACTGTGTTGTATTTGAGAAATGGGAAAAGAAACAGCTGTGGGCATATTACAACTGTTATCTGGCCTTCGGTGTCTAACACCTCTCCTTTCTATAGCCCTTCCCCCCAGGTCTGCATGGAGGACACTTTAAAGTGAAATGACAGACCAGGAGAATAACAACAACATCTCAAGTAACCCCTTTGCTGCTCTTTTTGGCTCTCTGGCTGATGCCAAGCAGTTTGCAGCGATCCAAAAGGAGCAGCTGAAGCAGCAATCTGGTAAGTGGAGGAGCCGACAGCAGCAGCTGAGGTGACCTGGAGCGGGTCTTCCCACATTCAGTGTCTGTGGGTCCTTCGTTGCCATTGGAAGTTAAGTTTGGGGCCGAGTTGCTTTTGTTTGTTTGTTTAGGGCATAAGTTGGGGTCCGTAGGATTGTTCACTTTGATTTGTTTTGTTATGGGGTCCTTTCCTCCCTGTCCTGCCCCTGCAGAAAAAGATGATTTTGTAGTAACAGATGCTAATCAGGACCGCAGACGTCAAGTTGTTTTATTTTTTAAATCGTCTGGTAAAAGATAGTTAAAGAAATCTCTTTAACATAGAAACTGAACTTTTAGGTAGAGATATGGAAAGCAAATCACAACTATAGAAAGCAGATGTGTAAACGGAAATATTACAGAAGTTTTTGGCCTCCCGACAAGTAAATGAGATTTGTTCTCAAGCCCAGTACTTCAGAGTCTGTCTCCAGTGAAATGCTTCTTCCACACCATGGAGTGGTCACTGTTGTAGCTTCTTGCTGTGAGAACAGATCCCCAGAAAACAGGATCCGTAGCCTTCATGGGAGAAAAATCAGGATAGTAGCTCACTGGGCAGAAAACAGTTTGCTCATCTGGAACCAAAATTAAGATGAAGCCTCGCTTCTGCTTGTAAGGAGACAGTCCAGAAGAATCAGGATGTGTTTCCAGACTTATCAGTCTTCAGAGAGTGTCACAGTCTTTCAAGCCAGAAATTGCTCCCCTCTGTTACCACAGAAGAATTATAGTGTTTTTCTTTTTAGGAAAGGAGAAATGTTTATATTTCCCTTTATTTTGCTTACTTCAGAAGTGTTTGGATATGTAGCTGGGTTGTAGCCGTGCTCTCTGAATTAGGATTGAATAGGAAAGAGGTAAGGGAAGACGGATGCATAGTAGACAGGAGGGAGGAGGTGGCCAAAGCAAGGGAGATATAAATGTAATGCTGACCTTTGTGTGTGTGTTTATAACCACTTGTTCCCAGAGAGACCAGGAGAGAAACAGCAGGCAGTGCGTCTTAACTGCTGACATTTCGTGTGCTAGAAAGAGGCCGGTCTGGGTCTCAGCCTCTGAAACCTCTCCCAGAATCGTAGGATATGGGCTTAGAATGAGAAACCTTCATTAAGAGGTAGTAGGTGAGAAAGGAGAGTGAGGAACAGGAAAAAATAAGGAAATGAGAAAAAAAATTGTGAGTATGTGGTTGAGGGAAATTTTGCTAAGTAGTCTTAGCTCCTGTTACTCTTGGGAGTTCAGAGAACTTAACAGTATATGAGCAGAGGGCTGGGCGTGTCCTCTGACTGTAAACGGACATAGGCTGGCTCGAGCGGGGAGCGTTGTGGGCACCAGGCAGTGGGGACAAATCAGGTGCATGCCCTTTTGTTACTATTCTGGCACCTCATTGTCTTAGTTTGTTTGCACTGAGTTTATCAGGCCACCACATCTAACCTGTTCCACCAGCCCCGTGAGCACTCTGCCCAAACCTTTGCCTCATATATTGAGCTTCACTTTTATTTATTTACTAGAGGCCCGGAGCACAAATTCGTGCACCAGTGGGGTCCCTCGGCCTGGCCTGTGGGATTGGGCCGAAACTGGCTCTCCGACATCCCCCTAGGGGTCCTAGATTGTGAGAGGGCGCTGGCCAGGCCGAGAGACCCCACTGGTGGACAATCAGGGTCAGGGAGGGACGCGGGAGGTTGGCCAGCTGGAGAGGGATCACGGGAGGGCTCCTGGGCATGTCTGGCCCGTCTTACTCAGTCCCGATCGGCCGGACCCCAGCAGCAAGCTAACCTAGCAGTCAGAGCGTCTGCCCCCTGGTGGTCAGTGCACATCATAGCAAGTGGTTGAACGGCCTTAACATATCATTAGCATATTATGCTTTGGTTGAACAGACAACCAGACTCTTAGCATAATAGGCTTTTCTTATATAGGATTTATTTACTCATCATTTATTTATTTTTGATTCAGAGAGGAAGAGAGAGGGCGAGAGAGAGATAGAAACATCAATGATGAGAGAGAATCATTGATCGGCTGCTTCCTGCATGCCCCACTCTGGGGATCAAGCCTGCAACCCAGGCGTGTGCCCTGACCAGGAATTGAACCATAACCTCCTGGTTCATAGGTCGACACTCAACTGAGCCACACCGGCCCAGCTGAGCTTCACTTTTACTAAACTCACCACAGTGAAGCCACTCTTCTGAGACTTTTCAATGGACTTTCTAAGTAACCATTTTGTCAATGACATGCAGACTCCTGGGTGGCGTTGAGTGAACAATGCTACTTTTAAATTCATTGACCGCCAGTGCCATTCTCGAGGCAGTCTTTTAAGTTGCTTTATAAAGAAGTAAACAGCCCTAGCTGGTTTGGCTCAGTGGATAGAGCGTCGGCCTGCGGACTAAAGGGTCCCAGGTTCGATTCCGGCCAAGGACACATGCCCGGGTTGTGAGCTCGATCCCCAGTAGGGGGCGTGCAGGAGGCAGCTGATCAATGATTCTCTCTCATCATTGATGTTTCTATCTCCCTCTCCCTTCCTCTCTGAAATCAATAAAGAAATATTTTTTTAAAAAGAAGTAAACAGATTAATCAATAAGAAAAAGGTAACAAATTAGAAAGAACAACAGATATGAGCAAGCAATATAGATACAATAACGAAGATTTTAAAAATCAGTCTCACTAGTATTTAGAGAAATGCCCATTAAAAACAATTAGAGCCCTAGCCGGCTTGGCTCAGTGGATAGAGCGTCAGCCTGCGGACTGAAGGGTCCCAGGTTCGATTCCGGCCAAGGGCACATGCCTGGGTTGCGGGCTCAATCCCCAGTGGGGGTGTGCAGGAGGCAGCCGATCTATGATTCTCTCTCATCATTGATGTTTCTATCTCTCTCTCCTTCTCCCTTCCTCTCTGAAACCAATAAAGAAATATATTTAAAAAAAAAAAAAACAATTAGATAGTTATAGTTTCTTTTTACCTGTGACATCTATGAAAATATTCTTGTTGAGCATGTAAATCAGAGCAGTATTTCTGAGGTAATTTAGTAGTATATGTTAACTTTTAAATGTTCAAGTTCCTTAACCCAGCAATTCTACTTCTACAAATTTAGCCTGCAGAAATACAAGTGCACAAAAAGAGTAAGTTATATTCTGTGTAGTATTGTTCGAAATCATGCAAAATTGGTAACAGTCCAGTGTTCATCAGTTGAGAAGTAGCTACATAAATCACAGTTGTACATACAATGCAATACAATGAAGGAGGTTGGCCTATAAGTAATTTAACAGAGAAAGGTGTTGGTGCTGATTACGTGTAAAAAGCAAGCTGAAAAGCAATGTATACAATATGATTCCATTTTTTATAAAAACTAAAAATCACACTAATAAATGATAGCACCAGAATAGGGGAAAATATGGAAAACTTTGCTGAGTTTAAAGGGTTGTCCATAGGGAACTGGTTCAGAAAATATTACAGCGGAACCTTGGTTCTCCTTAACTCGTTCTGGAAAGCTGTTCAAGAAGCAATTTGCTCAAAAACCGAATCATTTTTTTCCCATCAGAAATAATGTAAATTGAATTAATCCGTTCCAAACCCCCAAATGATTCCCTGTTTTAACCTTTTTTATAGACAGTACATGTCTAATGTACTATTTAATCTGTGAACAAAAACTTTTTAAATGTATTGAGCCACCCCTTCCCAGCCTTAAACAAGTCGCTTTCAGCACTCGGTCCAGGGGTTTCTTTCAGGAAGTCAGCACACAGCATCTCACATCTGCGCTTTTTCATGTATCGCTGCTTCCAGAGCGCAGTCACGGCTCGCTGCTTTTCATTTATCCAAATCAGCAACAGTTTTCTACCTCTTCCGTTGCCTGCGGTCATTGTTTCTTTCACACTCTTAGCAACATTAGCATTCTTTTTTTTCCTTTGTTGATTAAGGTATTACATATGTGTCCTTACCCCCCCCCCTTTGCCCCCCACCCCCCCCCATTAACATTCTTGATGGCCTCTTTATGTTTTAAAATTGTCCTAATCCATTGCACCAGCAACAAAAGCAAAAAAAAAAAAAAATTCAAGCACAATCTCCTGCGATGTTAACAATGCCATTTAGCGGGGAAACTGCCTGCTCTCCTTTGTCTGCAGCCTGAGAAACCATGTCATGCTGAGGTATCTGCAGGAAAGGGTTGTCAGGTAGACAATCAAAGTTTTGTTCCTCAGCTGAGACATATTTTCTGTGAACTTGGTCAAAAACTGAATTGTTGGCGATGAGAAATGTTCAAGAACAGAGGTATGGCCCTAGCCCCATGGTTGGCAAACTGCGGCTCTTTGGCCCCTTGAGTGTGGCTCTTCTAAGCCTTAGAGTACCCTAATTAAGTTAATAACAGTGTACCTACCTATATAGTTTAAGTTTAAAAAATTTGGCTTTCAAAAGCAATTTCAATCGTTGTATTGATATTTGGCTCTGTTGACTAATGAGTTTGCCGACCACTGCAGCCAATTTGGCTCAGTGGATGGAGCGTCAGCCTTCAGACTGAAGGGTCCCAGGTTCGATTCCAGTCAAGGGCACATGCCTGGGTTGTGGGCTCGATCCCCAGTGGGGGGTATGCAGGAGGCAGCCGATCAATGATTCTCTCTCATCATTGATGTTTCTATCTCTCTCTCCCTTTCCCTTCCTCTCTGAAATCAATAAAAATATATTTTAAAAAAATAAAGAACTGTGGTTTGGCCATATTTACAGTATATTTTCCTGTACAGTTTGGAACTGTTAAAACAAACGTGCGCTGGCTGGGAAAGGCTCTCAGGCCTCCAGCCCCACACAAAGGTGCCTTGTGGTCCCCGGGAGCAGGTGTTGCCCCAGGGGCATCCCTCACGTGGTGGACGGGGCCCCTCACAAACCAGCAGTTTCCAGGTGAGTGACTACAGCCCGGTGGCCAGCCTCGACAACGTTCGGGACCGCCACAGTCCTGAGGCCACAGGTCCAAGAACATGCCAAGCGCTTCACTACTGAAAATG